ACCAACTGGGCATCTGTACCCGGCTGTCTAGTGTCTTCTAGACTGAAGCAGCCCCATGCCGGTTCAGCACTCCCTTCCCCTCTGTACTTCCTCTGGCCTTCCCTGTCTAAAGAAACGGGCCACTGCTTACTGGCCAGATTAGAGATTTGGGCTTCCTGAGCTCAGCGCTCTTACAGTGTGGCCCATGTCACCTTGGTGGCCTTCCTCAGCAGTTTGTAAGCCTGGCACTTCATCCTCCCGGCCTCAGTTTAAATGTGAGAAGCAGCCCACCCATTGTAGGACACATATACACACTGTATACATGTGTATCTGGTTTCTTTCCTGAAGGGCAACAGAAGCTTTGTGTAGCATTGTTCACTGCTGTACTCCTACTTCTGAGGAAATGCCTGGCATGTGTACACTTAAGAAGCATGTGAAGAGTGGCCAAAAAAGAGCAGCTCACTTTGTGAGGACATGGGTTGTCTCTAAAGCAAGCGCATTAAGTGCTCCTGGGTGCTGGAGCCTTTCCTGTGGAGAAGGCTTCTTTCCTTAGGTAACCCCCACCTCTCTCTCTCTCTCTCTCTCTCTCTCTCTCTCTCTCTGTGTGTGTGTGTGTGTGTGTGTGTGTGTCTGTCTGTCTGTCCTGCTAAGGACTGTCTAAGCCCCAGTGAAGCCCCAGATCAGAGGATCCCAAGCATGCGACTCACTGACCGGACACTGTTGACATCAGATTCATGAGTTTCAAAGGCTTGCACGCACTGGCCAGAGCGCATGTCCCACACCATCGCCTTCTTGTCACAACCCTACAAACAGAAAATCACCCTGTTACACACTGCAAGGACTGTGGATAGTCAGGGGTGAGTCTTAACAGGTTACTCCTCTCCACCCACTAAATCTGAGGAGGCACAATTTTCCAGGACAGAGGAGGAGGAGGACACGTCGCTCCCTCCTTCAGCATGTTTCCTTCTTTTGTGTATTTCTGAGTTGGAGGTAAGACCTTTGATGCTTCCTCCTTCCTTCCTCCTGCACATCTCACTTCCCTTCACTCCTCTTCCATTCTCTCCTCTTTCTACCCACTTTCCCAAGCCCAAAGGCAAGCAGATGTTGGTGCATGTGGTGGGGGTCGGGGTGTCTAGGCTGGTGACACTGGGGACGGGCTGGTGGTGTCCAAACCGAGCAGCCAAGAGCCTCAGCTTTGTTAGAGCCATAGAGCCAGTCCTCAGCAGAGTTAGGAATGGGGTTCCTTTGGCCACCTGCACATCAGCAGCATGCTGACCTGGGAAATAGTTGTCCCAGGCTGCTCGTAGGCCTGCCACTGAACAACTAGGAGAGAGGGTAGCAAGTCACCCCTCTGGCCTTCCGCCTCAACCCTGAAAATGGATGCTCTCTGAGTCCCTCACAAGCCAGAGAGCCATAAACAAAAGATTTTCCATATTAGGCGATCAGGATTCTGGGAGCTTTTTGGTGAATTCCCATAGAGCTTGACTAGCAAAAGGCATTCTCTTAGCAGTTAGATGACCTGACAGCTTCAGACATTCAGGTTTGTTGACTTCAAAGACATGAAGAGGCAAAGGTGACATCTTAGGACCACCTGCCATGGGGTATGGTACCCTGAGAGCGTCACTGAGGACAGGGTCAACAAAATTCAACTACCTTCAACCTCCTACTGGAGCTCATGTGTGCAAAGAGGCAACAGAATCTACAGAAATGATGGTCACTTCAAGAGAGCAATGTGGTTGAGCAGGGACAATGCAGTTATACAAAGGCACGGGGAGAAGACATACATGGGTGGCCAAACACAAGAAGCTAATCAGGGTCTCTCCCAAGGAACCACGGGCAGTTCCTAAAGGCTTGAAATCAGTCAGAGCCTTGATTCCTATAGTTCCTCTTCTGTTTCCTGCACCCAAGGGTGAGAGGAGAATGGTGGCCGAGAGTCGTGGGATGGGAGCATCCCCAGCCCTGGGCTCTGTGACATCCCAGCACTGTCTCATCTTACCATGTATTTCACACACACAGTGTGACAAGCGCACACTGGAGTTGCCGCCTTCATACAGAACATTCCAGATCTCTATAGAGACTGCCTTCAGCGACAGAAGGAAGGCGGCCTGGAGACAGTGCTGGCACTGACTGCTGTGGGACCTGGGGTTTCCAGCTGAAAACACTTCTAGGGAAGATGCAGGACCAGGCCCAAGAACCAAAACGAACTGCCAGCATCTATCTCCCTGGTGGACAAAAGACCCCAGAGATTTTCCCCGTCTTTACCCCAGACACAAAGGTGTTCCCGGTCTCCGAGGGGGCCAGGTCCAAGCAGAGCACATCAGCCCCGTGCCCATGGAAGCTCTGCAGCAGCTGTCCGCTCTCTACGTCCCACAGGGCGCATGTCCCATCACCGCTGGCTGTCAGGATCTGCGTGAAGAAAGAGAGTGTTGGGGAAGGTTAGCTAAAGGCTTAACCTGCCAGAGAGCACAGCGGGCCACACACACACACACACACACACACACACACACACACACACACACAC